CACAGGTTTGCACGCGCGGCTGCGGACAACGACATCGACCCCACGTCTCGGGCGCTGCTGTCACAGGCTGGCGATGCCGCGAGCTGCGCCTTCACGTCCCTCCCAACGAGCGCCGACACCCGGGTACCGGACGCAGAGTTTGCCCCTCCTTCGCGCTGCCCCTGTGGAGAGAGATGTCCTTGAACGACCGTGAGACACAGTCAGAAGTGAAACCATAATCTTGATCACAGTCCCAACATACGGGTAGGAACACAAACAACGACCAGTATACAACAAAGTAAGAGCAAAACGTGTATGTACAAAGTCGTCACTGCCCCTCTCAGTCCACGTTCAAGATGTCACGTGCAGTGTTCACAGCCGGGTCTGTGTTGAAAAGGGTTTCCAACGTAAGCATATTTGATCTCCGAGTTTGCTGTCGCCACCGGCGGCGTTGTTGGGAATAGGTGGCACAAACCAGAAGTGCATGAGACAGGGAGTCAGGGCCATTGGCGCAGAATCGGCATGAGTGAAGTACCATACCGCTGCGATGACGTGCAGAGCACCCATCCATGAAGTCATGATGTCCACAACGCGCTAAACCCCAGAATCTGGCAGCCATGGGACAAGCCTGCGTATAAACGACCCTGTGCAGATGCGGTCGTGTCTGCCAGCGAGCATAGCACTCCAAGGAGTCAGTGCAATGCAACAGGTTTAGGACGCTTGGATGTGTACGGCGACCATCGCTCAGCCTGCGCCCAGGTGGGCGTGCTGGCCCGCCGAGCTGGCCCCCTTGAGCGCGCGGCAGCATGCATTTGCAAGGAGGCGGGAGGCAGAATGGCATCGCACGTCGCCGTCTGCGACCTCAACCTTGACGTACCAGCGGGCGACGGACGCCGCATAGAGGTGGTCGCCAACGGCCTCCCTCTTTGGCAAGGGGCTCAATTCGCGGTTGACGCCACAATCGTGAGCCCAGTCCGTCGGGACGGCCAGCCCCGCCCACGGGCTGACCATCAGCCGGGCCTCGCCCTAGACCAGGCAGTCGACCGCAAACACCGAGCCTACCCGGAACTGCTGCAAGCTCGGTGCTGCCGCCTGGTCGTCTTCGGCGTGGAAGCTGGCGGGCGGGTCAGCCGCAGCACCCTGCCGTTCTTGCGACTGCTCGCGCGGGCGAG